GTTATCTGTGGAGTAATGGCTGATTATAACGCGGGCGATGAAATTCGCAAGGAAGCTGTCTCGCCGATACCGCCTTGTCTTTGCACGATAGCCAGCTTTTTTGTGGTGGTATGGTTGACAAGGAGTAGGCGCCTTGACCCTGAATGTTTGCTAGGGCATTAAGGTTTTCCGTTATATATATATATATATATATATATATATATATATATATATATATATATATATATATATATATATATATATATATATATATAGTATCCTAGTCCATCCTCTCCGGAGGTTAGGAAGTGGTCGATGGCCCACTTCCCGTAAAACCTAGCCATGGGAGACAACAGGTTACGGGTGATATTCTCAATGCTCGATTGGCGTAGAGCACGAGTGCCACGCATTGTCTCTGACGGTGGGAGGACACCTCCGGGTGTTCAATGGTTTGCTACTGCCCGCCTCAAGCCAGGCAGCCCCTGCTCAAATTGGTGCAAACCCGCTAAAAACCCACCTGCGTCTGGCCGTGGTCGCAGGTGCGTATCCAATTACGGTCGCAAAACATATGATAATTGTTCCAGAACCTCAAAGGCTGCGTGTGACGGCCGTCAAGCAGATCCCAATCTGTCTCTGCAATCACATTCCCGAGCTGGATCTGCTCTCCACTGCCTTGTGGGTCAGGCTATTGAGCCAAAGGCTCCGGGCGGAGTCCCTCAAGCAAACCTCCAAACCACCCACTGCCTTGTGGGTCAGGCTATTGAGCCAAAGGCTCCGGGTGGAGTCCCTCAAGCAAACCTCCGAAGGACAACGACCACCTCGCGTGTGATTGCCCACCAATGCAATCGCATGCCTGCGCGCAAAGCACTCAATATCGGGTGCTGGAACGTGCGCACACTACTGGACCGGAACTCGAGCGAGCGCCCGGAGCGACGCACTGCACTGGTCGCAATGGAGCTGGCGCGCTACCACATCGATATTGCGGCGCTCAGTGAAACTCGGCTCGCTGAGCAAGGTAAGTTACATGAAGCAGGTGCTGGCTATACATTCTACTGGGTGGGGAACGCCGCCTCAGCACCACGTGAACATGGGGTCGGATTTGCAATATCCGATCGCCTGAATGGCCAGCTGGTGGGTGAACCAACGGGCATCAGCGCGCGGCTGATGACTGTTCGCCTGCGACTCGGAAGAGGTAAGTTTGCTACTTTTATAAGCACGTACGGTCCGACCATGTGTTATCCTGATGACACGCGTGATCAGTTCTACACTGAGCTATCCTCCGTGATACGGTCTGTGCCGAGGAGCGATCGACTATTTCTGCTGGGTGATTTCAATGCGCGCGTTGGGCGTGATGCATCAGCGTGGACAGATGTTATCGGTGCGCATGGCATTGGTTCAGCGAATGCGAACGGTGACAGGCTGCTCTCACTGTGTGCCACTCACGGTCTGACGATCACGAACACTCGGTTTGCACTGAGTGCGAGTGATATAGCAACTTGGACGCACCCACGGAGTGGTCACGCTCACCTGCTCGACTATGTCATCGTACGTCAGCGTGATATGCGTGAAGTGCGCATGACACGTGTACTGCGTGGAGCTGAGTGTGGCACTGATCACAAATTGGTTCGGACCAAACTGTACATATATTTTCGTAAATCGATGTATTGCACTCCCGCCGTGAATCGGCGTAAATTTAACATTCTCTCCCTCGGCACTGTGGCGAAACGTGCTGAGCTGGAGAAGGCGATGGCTGCACGCCTGTGTGGTGATGTGGACTGTATAGCCACAGTGGGCGACCTGTGGCACCACATTCGCGACCAGGTGACAGCTGCTGCGGAGGAGACGATCGGGCGCGCAAACTGTAAGCGGCCTGATTGGTTTGATGACAACAATGTGACGATTGACGCATTGGTCTCAGAGAAGAATGCAGCATTTGCTGCACATGTTGCAGACCCCAGTGACTTGGGGAAGAGTAGTCAGTTTCGCAAACTTCGACGGCGACTGACCCGAGAGCTCCGTCGCATTAAAAATGCATGGTGGACGGAGAAGGCGAAGCAGATGGAATGCTACGACGAACGCCGTCAACACAAGGAATTCTTTGACTCCTTGAAGGCGGTGTATGGACCGAGATTGGAGCCGCTGAGGACACTGATCGATGGTAGTTCAGGCGCTACCTGCACCCAGACTGCAGACATAATGCAGGTCTGGCGGAAACACTTTGACTGTCTCTTGAACAACCGTTCAGAGATCGACTGGCCTACATTGAATGGCCTGAAGCAGCACGATGTGAAGGCGGATCTGGCAGATACGCCGAGACTGGATGAGACACAGAGAGCACTTGCTCAGCTGCGAAACGGCAAATGTGCCGGAGGTGACGGGATCCCACCTGAAGTATTGAAACACGGTGGACCCGCGTTGTTGACTGCGCTGCACCACTTGGTGCAACGCGTGTGGATTGAGGAGGAAGTGCCTTCTGAGCTGAAGGATGCCCTTGTGCTACCACTGTACAAGGGCAAAGGTAGCAAGCAATGTTGCACGAATTATCGTGGCATCAACTTGCTGAGTTGTGTGGGCAAGGTGATTGCCCGAATCCTGCTCAATCGCCTCGTGAGTCAGATTGTGGAACCTCACGTGGCGGAAGAGCAATGTGGATTCCGTTCGGGTCGCAGCACTATAGATATGGTGTTTGCGGCTCGTCAGTTGCAAGAGAAGTGCAGAGAACGACACCAGCCTTTGTACTCGCTTTTTGTTGATTTCACCAAGGCATTTGATACGGTGAACCGCGAGGCACTGTGGCTGGTGTTGGGTAAGTTTGGTTGCCCGCGTAAGTTTGTAAGTTTAATTGAATGTCTGCACAGTGGTATGCGAGCGAGGGTGCAGCTGAGTGGAGAGACCTCTGATGACTTTGCAGTTGTCTCTGGTGTGAAGCAAGGCTGTGTGTTAGCTCCTGCCCTGTTTAATATCTATCTTCATGCAATGTTGTCTTGTGCTTTTGATGCGGATTGTGCTTACGGTGTTCGTGTGGAGCACCGTATTGATGGTGGGTTGCTGAACATCCGTCGTTTCGGTGCGAGAACTCTAGTCTGTGAGACAACTATCCGTATGTTGCTGTTTGCTGACGACTGTGCGTTGTTTTCACACAACGCGGATGAGTTGCAGCACATGACTAGTGCTCTGGCTTCGACAGCGGCCACATTCGGGCTCACCATCAACACAAGCAAAACTGTCTGTCTGTTTCAGCCTTCACCGGAGGTGCAATCTTCAATATTGCCGCAAATCAGCATTGGTGCTGAAGTATTGGAAACCACCTCCCGCTTCTGCTACCTTGGGAGTGTGATGTCGACTGATCAGCAGCTACACGTTGAGTTGCGTAATCGCGTGTCGAAGGCGGCAGCGGCATTCGGGAAGCTTGAGTACCGAGTGTGGAACAACCATCAGCTTAGCATTGGCACGAAGCTGATGGTGTACAAATCCATGGTACTGTCCGTTCTTCTATACGGCAGTGAAACGTGGACGATGTACCGTCGGGATGTGCGATATCTCGAGCGGTTCCATCAGCAGTGTGTGCGACGAATTTTGCGGATCGGCTGGGGCGCCAGAGTTGCAGACACGGAAGTGTTGCGCCGAAGTGGGATGTATGCAGTGGACGGCATACTTTTACTGCGACACCTGAGATGGCTCGGTCATGTGAGCCGTATGGATTCGACGCGAATACCGAAACAACTTTTATACGGTCAGCTGAGTATAGGGAAGCGGCATGCTGGGAAACCAAAGTTACGTTACCAGGACATGATTAAAGTGAGCCTCACACGTTCTAATCTTGATTGCAGATCATGGGAATCGAAGGCGGTTGATCGTGGTGCATGGCGCGATCTAATCACGAAGGCAGTTGCTGAAGTGCGAGAGAAAGCCCTCATGCATGCAGAGAAGAAGCGGCAAGTGCGGAAGCGGCAAGCACCGATGAATTGTACTCCATCGACATCGAGCGCATTGTGCTGTAGAACATGCGGTCGCGAGTGCCTTAGTCAGGCAGGCCTAGTGAGCCATGAGAGAGGTCACTCGGGACCACTGCCGAAGCGACGACGGGTCCCGCAGTGAACGTAGGCAGCACCGGCGCAGCGTTTGTAGGCACGCTGAATTCGATTTACTAACCGCATGCTTGCATGCTAAGTCTCTTTATTTCAGGTGGTGGGTTTTCGGTTCTCTCCTAATGCCTTTCTTTCTCATATAAATGTCTAGTGGGCCATGAGCTAGGTCCTTTGGGGCCACTACAGAAGCGACGACGGGTCCTGCAGAGAATTACGACGAGCCGGCGCAGCGTTTGTAGGCACGCTGAATTCGATTTACTAACCGCGTGCTTGCATGCTAAGTCTCTTTATTTCAGGTGGTGGGTTTACAGTTTTTACCTTAATGCTTTTCTTTCTCATATAAATATCTCCCTGTACTCTATTCCATTAACTTGCACACATCGCTTCAGCCAGTTGTATTCGATTTCCATAGCATTTTTGTGTTTGTGGCATTCCGTGAACTATACTTCCTGACCTCGTGCACTTAGCTAGGATTTGTTTGTAAACAACTTATTACGTATGCTATTTAATTAAGGTTTATGTCACCGTTTCCTTATGCATTAATCGAGATTTTCTCTCTTTTTCTTTCTCTCTCTCTCTCAAGTGATTGGCTGTTGTTTGATATCCCCGGTGTGGCTGCGCTTGATGTGCATGTTGACAAGGTGCCTACCTGTCTATTACCCACTACCTCGTCCATACTGGCTCCAGGAGACAGTTGGTCGTTGCTGGAGGGGACGGGGTGCACGGTCCTTGTGGCCGTGTTAGGCTCGAAGAGTGGTTCCATGCACTCAGTATGGAGCGGACTACGGTCCAGCCACCGCCTTGTGTGCGCTTGATTCCCCAAATACAGTGTGCTTGTGTTTGCCTGTGAAGGAGTGTGGGCCGGCTCCGTTGATGAAACGTGGTTCCCATCCACATGCCTCCCGGTCTTATTCCTTCGGGTTTACACTGGATATGGGGTATGTGGTTGGAGCTGTGGGTGGTGCAGCGCAAGCCATCCATGGTCCCTCTGTAGGCGCAGGCGTCCTGTGGCTTGCCACAGTGACAGGCAAATCCGAAACCGGATGCCGCCAACCATGTATGTATATGTGCCCCATGCTGAGGCTGATGTTGCATTCTTGATGTTTCTTCACCGCAGTTGGGCTAAACCAACTTACACTTAAACTAGGTCTTTTTAAGCTGGATAAATTTCATTCCGCTTTATTTGGTTTGTTCTGCCTCCCTGAATAATGTTCTATTAACTGGCCACGTTGCTTACACTAATTGCGCTTATATTCGGTAATTTTGTTGCGTTTGTAGCATTTTAAGTAACTTGTGGACATTTCTTACTTATCACGAATTTGTTGCTAACCAACTTACTCCATATGGTAATTTAGCGAAGAGTTATGCCACCGTAGCTGTATGCATTATTGGATTTATTTAATTTCAGCTTGTCGTTTAAAGTGAATGGCTGTTGTTTGATATCCCTGGTATGGTTGCGCTTGATGTGTATGTTGACAAGGTGCCTACCTGTCTATTACCCACTACATCGTTCATACTGGCTCCAGGAGACAGTTGGTCGTTGCTGGAGGGGACGGGGTGCACGGTTCTTGTGGCCGTGCTAGGCTCAAAGAGCGGTTCCATGCACTCAGTGTGGAGCGGACTACGGTCCAGCCACCGCCTTGTGTGCGGTTGATTCCCCAAATACAGCGTGCTTGTGTTTGCCTGTGAAGGAGTGTGGGCCGGCTCCGTTGATGAAACGTGGTTCCCATCCGCATGCCTCCCGGTCTTATTCCTTCGGGTTTACACTGGATATGGGGTGTTTCGATGGAGCTGTGGGTGGTGCAGCGCAAGCCATCCATGGTCCCTCTGTAGGCGCAGGCGTCCTGTGGCTTGCCACAGTGACAGGCAAATCCGAAACCGGATGCCGCCAACCATATATATATATATATATATATTGCGACAGTCTACGAATAGACATAAAGCCATCAGAAACCATGGGACTCAAAAGAAGGTACAGAAATAATAAAAGAAAACAACACATAAAATTCCATGGTTTCGTCAGAGGGCGAGATAATACTCGGTTGACCAAGCCGAAGTAGGATGTTGACTTAGGGGACACCACCCCGAGCCTTTGGCTGATCAGCCTGCCCGCAAGGCAGCGGAGCGAATTCAGGGAATCGCGCCCGTTGGGAGCCAGTGACTGATTGCTCAGTTCATACACCTTTCGTTTGTGCCTTTGTCAAACAGGGGCCCAATGCTCTCCAGAATTACAGCATAAAGTTGCTGGAATACAATGCTTCGCCAGGATGAAGCAAGGGGCAGTGACTTTATTTAGTGGCGACTCACGTCCGCCACGTCACAGTGTTGTTAAACGGACATATGTGGCTTTTATGGGGAGAACGCTTGCCAGGCGGAAACCCACCACCTCCTGAAACACTGCCGCCGAACCATTTGCTGGAACGGGAAAATCCCGAACCACCCAGCTGGCACCACGAGTAGGTTGTTCGGCAAGCGAGCCGCCCGGAAGGTGAGATGGACCGACGGCACCTAGTTGTGTAGTCACTGACTTCATTTCCCGCTGTCAAGTTAACTTTCGCCCACCTCGGGCATGGCGCAATCCTACATCTGGAAGACAAAACAAGGCCCTCCTCGGTAAGCGGTGACCGGGCATACGTAGTGCGTATCCAATCCAACGCAGCTTATTCAGTGCTATCGTTGTTCTAGGGAGCTAGCGTGATTATCACTACCTAGTACTCGTCTACGCGAATCATCGTTGCGGATACGCTGTTTGCATCCGACACCAGCGATGATCAAAGATTTGAAGGTACCTTGGATTTTCAGGCCGAAGGGGCCAAGTCTTACTCTCTCAGTTGGATGAAATGGCTGTCTGGCTGAGGTCAATTCCGACGAAGCTTCTCAAAGACTTGTAGTTTTCTCATGTCGTTGTGCACTTAAGTACTGCACTGCTCCTGACTACTATGTACTCCTTTGCACATCTGCTTCGTTAAGCATGCCATATGTACACAGTTGGCAGGGTTTATTAACACAGCCAAATGGAGTCAACTTTCAACACATACTTTCTTCGTAAACCTGATCCTTTTCAGCGCCAGGGCCCCTGATCGATTGCTGGCCATATACTGCGTCGACTGTGTTCTCCGACAACTAAGAGGGAGACAGCAAGGTGCACCATTTCCATTCCGCCGGTGGCCTAGTAATCTGCGCGTTTGGTTTGCAACCATAAGGTCACCGGTTCGAATCCGCGTAAGGGTGGGCGTCCTCGCGGTATATTCAGCCCTCGTGCGACTGGTGGTTGTGGCACGGCAGCGAAGCGCCGTTACGGCGTACAGCTGACATTTACCTTATCTTTGTTCCGCCGCTTTGCGCAAAGTACCACCGCTTCCCATTTACTACAAGTCGAATCAGCCATAAATGCATCATGGAGCCAGCTTTCGCCACGTTGCTGTAGTGCTTGGCATTGGTTAGACCTGAAGTTATAACCCCTCTATTTGGCTGTCTTGACTAAATTTGTCAATAATATTTCCATGAATTCGTTTTCTTGTCCCTCGAGGCATGGTTCTCTGCGGAGAATTCAGTAAACCTCCGCATTGACCTCGATCCTGTGTACTTACAGCTGAGAAGGCGTAAAACTGGGCGGCCAAATATCGAACAAACAGAGGTCACGTGACACAGATCGATGAGGCAAATTTCAAACGCTACGTCCCGATGACACTTTCCGTGAGATTTTCCTCTACGGAGCAGTGCACTGAAGATGCCACTGAGTGAAGTGGTGAAACGTTTGTCATTAAATTACTCAGCTCGGAGAACGAATCAAAATGTTAACTACCAACGCGAGCTACAGGTATTCCGAATCATTGCAAACAGGTGAAGTATTTTAAGTTCACCACTCGATTAGTGTACGGCACTGGTGCCACACATTGTTTCCAACGGTAGAGGCACATCCCGGTGCTCCCTAACGAAATTGTGGCAAACCCTCCTGCTGCTGGCCGTGGTCGCAGATGCGTAAGATAGCATGATCGAAAACCACATCTGAATTTTTATAAACCGTCAGAGGTTGACAGACGTCAAACAGATCCCGGTCCGTCCCTGTAGTCACACTCTCGAGCTGGACTTACTCCCCACTGAGTTTTGAGTCGGGCTATTGGGCAAAACGCTCCGCGTGAAATTCCTCAATCGAACATGTACTTCATTGTCTTGTTGGTCAGGCTGTTGAATCAAAAGCTAGAGGTAGGGCACCTCGAACAAGACTTCCTTCTAAAAATGGACAGTTAGAGGGTATCATATGCCTTCTCGATGTCTTCGACAACAATAAGTAACCGAAGAATAAAACATTTATTCTCGAGCAGGCAAGGCACGCCCGTGTTGGGAGGAGCAACATCGAATCACCTTCCTTTTCGATCCTGTCCGTGTGCTCGGAGTGACCGAAGTCTCAGTGAAGGCTGCGTGTTATAGTCCGACTACAGGCGGCTACTCCAAATTCAATTTGAACTTCTTTCTCTTCATGGTTTTCTCCAATTGCAAATTTTCTGCTTCATTGAACAAGGGGCTGCCGCTCACCTCGCAGATAATGCTATCGATACATTAATTCGTCCTCTAAACCAAGAGTCTCATTTTACTTTGGTTCGTTTAACATCCGCACTCTGGTTGAAATCGGTCAACAGGCGTCACCAACTCTCACTCTTCACTCTCTTGGTATTCATGTGTGCTGTATTTCTGAAACAAACGCACAAGATAACAGCATCATAACGAATCTTCGACTCCTTGGTTTCCCAGTCTGCTGACGTTTTTGTCAATACTAATTCAATGGTTCAACATATTCACGGCATCGATATCGCCCTCAGCAAACATGCTGAAAGCAATCTACTCGACTGTGTCATTGCACGGCGGCATGTATGAGATTCGACCCCGAATTTCTATTGAATAAGCAGCGTCTGAAGACAAGGCACTTTTACACTGAGAGTGGTTCGAAGGGTATGAAAGACGATTTCTATCCTCAGCTGTCATCTCCTATCAATATGGGGAAAATATTGATAACGTGATTGTTAGCGGCAAAATTACCAGACAATTTGCAAGTTGGATATCAGGATCGCACTCTGGACAAACAAGCCGTCTGCGCCATCTGCTAAATTCCTGCCTATCAGCTATTTGTCTGTTCCATGTGCCCTATGGTAGGATTATCACGCAATTCACAAGTTGGACATCGGGGTTTTACTCTGAAGCACCATATCTGACATGTGCGCCATCTACTTTTGGACCATCTGATAAACTCCATTCTAACGACAGTTTATCTTACCCCATGGTTTCATTCTAACCCATGCTATTACTTTGCTCGCCCCCACACGTTGCAACTTACCCCACCGGTTATATACACATGCCGACATGATCCATTCCCCAGTCACAGAGACACATCCGCCGTTGTTGTTCCTCTCATCCCATATTTGACCCGAGACACATCACTCACACCGCCCTTTAGGAACTGTGCTGGCTCTATGTCTAGTTAATAGACTGCTGAGATTACATACGTACATACTCTAGGCACTGTACAGAGAACCAATCGGGTAGGATTAGTGGACACATTAAATGAGCCGCAGGATTCCGCTCGCGGATTCGGCGTTGTGTGATCTTGCTGTACGGTGACTTGTATGCCTTGTAAAGACCTGGTTGTTTCAGAACCTAACAAGTACTATTGACGTGTGCCCATATTCCACGTTGTTTTCCATTAGAAGTGTACCGCAGTTAACTTCCGGCTTCGTTTCGATTTTTCCCTGGAGTATTACGAATTGTTCAAGCCCGAAGCGATTTTGTCGCTTACAGTGCGCAACAGTACCCGTTCTGTTCTTAAACAACCGGATGAGACACACAGGGAATGTAAACCACCGTGCAGCAAGAGAACACAACATAAAGTTCGCAATCGGAATCCAACGGCTCAGACGTTCACATCGTGTCACCTGGCGCCCACCGGATTCCTCGGTGGTCTGGACGTATATTGATTATTTTTCCAGGGGCTACAGGGGGCACACCCTAATTCAAAACTGTCGGTCAATTTGGAGTACCTGACTGGATTCCGACCATGCTCTAGTGCGCGCATATTTGGCGTCCATTTTTCTAGATTTAATGGAGTGCCTAACTTCTAAACATTCTCTTTGTGATCTGAACTCTGTTCGCATTTCAACAAGATAAAGAATTGCCCACCAGTTGTCAGTGTTTAATGAAGTTGGTCCGCCGAAGACTGATTGAGGTCATCTCATGTGTGCTTTGAAGAATGCTTTTGACAGCCTTAATCCCGACTTGAGACGGCTTAACTGTGAGTGGATCTGCTAGACACCGATCGGGTTGATCGAAAGATCTAAACAGCTTCCGTTGGGTGCTACGTTTCAGCGTATCCGTAACACCATGAAACGACTGCCAAAGAGTCTCCGAATTGGCCGGGAACGCTGGTAGATGGCAAGGGACCATGAGATGGAGAAAGTCACTGCTATTTGAAGTAACCGAGTGCTATTCTAACTCATCTGGAACCGGGGTCCATGGAGGCCTTTAGTTAGTGAGGCAGTAACTGAGAAAGATGAACCGTTGATGCATTCTCAGCCGCTTCGATTAACGTTTTGTGTGGAACATTATGAAGAGCAGTTCAGTAGCTTGCTGATTCACCTGAGCCCACGGGGGAAGTTGAGGTCACACCTCGCACTTTCGAAAATATCCCGCATGAGCTCATCGTGTCAAAACAAAACCATGACCTTCCTCTATCTTTGCTGAAAAATGGAGATGTTTTTTGTTTATTGGGGTTGTCACTATATTCAACAATATTTCGGCGGTACTCCGTCTACAACGTTGGGTCCTCCAACTTGCAGCTGTTCAGTCGGGTTTGTTTAGTCCTAGACGAGCCACCGAAACGCATAAAAACTACTGCACACACCAATGCTTGATCGGTTTCAACGCACGTTGATCAAAATGATCTGCAATCGCATACGCTGCCCCGCCACCTGTGACTTATTGCTATCTGATCAATTTGTGATCAGCGCTGGGTTGATGATGGAGGACGCTCGGTGGTATAGTGGCGTCCAGGGTGACGAAAGCTCGTACTGGAGAGGAAAAGTTGGTGCTCAGCACAAAGACTGAGCAACCTCTACGTTTTCAGAACGAATATCATCATACCCATGCATTCACATGGTAGCGGCTGACAGATACGTGCATTTAAGTCTGCTGCCATAATAATAATGTCAGTTTAGGCGCCTTTAGGACCAGCTCATGAAGATGTTGATAGTACTGGTCCTTGACTGTATCCGAGCTACAGTCAGTTGGCGCGTAGGCGGAGATCACAAAAAGAGCACGCTTCTCTGCTCGATGCTTGCCAACGTTGCAAGAGCCACGGAGTTTCATAACACAGGCGACTGTTCATTGAGATAGATGGCGGCCTCCGCTCTATCTTCGAGGGAGATTTCAATACCAGCTTGCCCAGATGCAGAAGACTCAGCGTCACCAAAAGGGCGAAGATAGAAGCGGGTGTGTAGTTGGACTGGTGACGACAGCTGTTAGACTGTGTTAGAATCCTGAAGTCGTTTTTCATTCAGGCAGCAAACATCGATTGCAATGGTCTCCATTGTGTGTGTGTAAATCCAGCTTACTGCGCAATCTGCAATAATGTACACTCGTTAAAGGTTACCAGTTTGAACTGCATTCCAGTTTGCATTTACGAAGATAGTAGATTTCGGAGTTGGCAGTTCCCTGTCGGGGACTGTGTTTGAGGTGACCGTCGGTAAGAACGATTTCATCGACGGAGGTAGGGTTGTTCACCGTTGAAGAATCAATTAACGGTGGGGGTGTATGATACAAGGGAAGGGCAGATAAATTGGTGGCGTGTGTTTGTAAAGTTGACGTGGCATGGCAGTGTATCATCATGAGAGCGGAAGAGAGTGAACGTAATTCCATGGTTCGCCAGTAGGAGAGATATTACCCGGTTGCCTAAGCTGAAGTAAGTGGATTGTTAAAGGGGATCACGGCCCTGAGCTTCCGACCGAAGAACCTAACCTACATTGCAGCAGGGCGAGATAAGTGTTTCGCACCCGTTGGGAGCCAGTGACTGAACATTCAGTTCATATGCATTTCGGATGTTGAGAAGCTATACCAGGAGCCCAACACTCTAGAAGTCAAAGGCAGAATCGGATGGTCGGATTGCTTGCCGGTATACAATGTCGCTGAGAAAGAGAAGGTGCAGTGACTTTATTTAGTTTCGAGTTACATTCGCCACGTCGCAGTGTTTTTAAGCAGACACACGTGGCTTTTTATACGGAGAACGCTTACCAGGTGCACACCCATCACGTCCTGGAACACTGCTGCTGAACCATTCACCGGAAAGGGGAAATACCCGGATCGCCCAGCTGGCACGACGAGGAGGTTATTCCGCAAGCCACACTCAACTATCTATGGAAACGGCGGGATATCAGCGATGAGGTCGGTTATGGTGTGGATCAGAGACTTAGCTAGTTGGCAGTGAAAACTTCTTTGCTCACTGGTATTGCTCACAGTAGGTGGGAACACCGGGTGAGTAATGCTGTGGTCCGCCAGTTAGGTTTTTGGCAAGAAGCCTCCTGGTGCCTCACTCGTGTTTGCTAAAAGTTAGCTACTCACGTTCTCTAGGTCGTGTCTTCGGTATACCCGTGGACCCGCTTCCCCTGTATACACATACGCTGTGACTGCACCAAATTGGGAGAAACCGCGAGGTGACCAGCCTATGATGTGGTGTGTCGTCCTCATGGTTGGGAACCTCGAGATTGTCCACATCAGTAGTTGGAGATCCAATCAGACGTGGCACAGTCGCGCAGCCTGTGGCGTTCAGTGACTTCAACAAGTGTTTGAAGTTTAACGCTAGGCTTGCGGATGCGAAGATTGACATCAGAAAAGAGTGCTCTTCGCAACCTTGTGTTTTATCAATTCCATGGGTATAATTTTTGAATTAAAAAGGAGCAAGCAACCCAAGGCGTTCAGTGACTTCAACAAATGTTTGAAGTTTAACGCTAGGCTTGCGGATGCGAAGACCGACATCAGAAAAAAGTGCTCTTCGCAACCTTGTGTTTTATCAATTCCAAGGGCATACTTTTCGAGTTCCTGCATTTGCTCTATTGCTTGTGGCTGTTAACATGCATGCGAACTTTATTCCCTTTTCCTTGTACTGTATTTGCGTTCCACCTCATTTTCTTACCTTGGTTACCTATTGCTGTCCAAGCGACGCGAGTCGTGGCAAAAGGATCCACCGCACGTCGGTGCCCAGATCATAGCTGTTTAACTGAACCGAACTCTGTTGTACGAACTTGGTGTATGCAGGCAGCCTAACTCCCTTATGATCAAACCCATCTACTTTGCTACCGTTTCTGGCTAAGCTTACTCATAGCATGATACACTTGGGCACTGTATGAGTAATATTGGAGTCCAGCAGTTGATGTTTGACCACGGATCCTCTGGTGTCGCACTGCGCCACCTGTTTAACTTCACTACCTGCGTTGCTTAAGTCAGGCTTTCCGCATGCTGTGGCCAGACACCTCGGCGTGTGTTGTTTGTCAATATTACACGTGGTTTGATGACTTGCCAGAAATGATGCGGCAGTTGTTTGAACGATTGAACCACACGTCGCCTCCTTGCTTTTGGTGTCCGGAATCGGTTCGAAACCCTGTTGGAAACGAACCAAACAGTTGAAACCAAACTGGGGGTACGAAATCATGTGGATTTTGCCGATTTAAGAACATTAAAAGCCAGGGTGGCACAGTCTACTTTTTGATTTTGACGATACCTCAGTCAGTCATCCTCCCTACAGCCTTCTCCCTGTCTATAATTCAGTCATATTGTCTCGCTAAAGGACAACAGTGGCAACGCGTTCACAAGGGCTCCATTCTTCATCCAACGTTCATCTCAGTGTTTGATACTGCATGTGACAGTCCATTCTCCCAAAGATTGCTTTAAACGGTCAACTCTAATCAGGCCTTAACCGTTGTGACAAGCGTTGTCCGTGGCAACTCGGTGGCTTGGGGGTAGAGGTGCTAGCTGACATCCCGAAGACCACGAGTTCGAGTGCCGACTATTTCTACCTTACGAGATCAGACAAGTTCGAAACCCCTCTTAAAGTGCAATGTTTTCTGGTTTGAAGTTTATGGCGTTGTTCTAGAAAAACAACGCATTTATCCTCTTGGATATTGATAGCTACCTTTTCCTTCTTGGAAACCACACATTAGACCCGTTCCGCGGCACATTTTGCCTTGATTCTGTATTGTTACCTGCCTTTTTTGTCATCTTGGGTTGTTTTTAGTGTTTACCTCCACGTTATTTGCAATGTTAGCTATCTAAATCTTTTCATTTCTAGCCCTACGGACTCCGATCCCCCCAGCGATGATGTCTTTCCTACTCCAAGCATCACAGCCTCTTCCCACGCCGCCGAGAGTAACTCTCGCAACGCGTGCGGTTCACACCAGCCCTCGGCTCCTTCCAAGCACCCTTCACTGGAGGGCTCACTGTCACCCAACAGCCGAGTCGATCTGGGTGGTTCTCGGCGGCATTCTTCGGACGACAGTAGTAACCATTTATCTAATGCCCCTGATTTTTCTGATCCTCTGGCACCGACGCAGCCAGTTTCTGGACCCCTCGCCTCCTCCTCCGACGCCGTAACTACCTTCTCCTCGATGCATCATTTTTGGCAAGACCCCTTGCAGGAACTGGCTCGGCGTTCGAAAGCGGGGTCAAAGCGTAATGCCCTTCTACTTTGGTGTCAATCACGGGTCGCCGGATACCGGGGCGTGGAGGTGACCAATTTCTCCAGTTCTTGGAATAATGGCCTTGCCCTTTGTGCCCTTTTGCACACGTACATTCCCTCGCAAATCCCATGGAACGACCTGGTCACGACAACTGGCCTACCCATTGATAAGCGACGCTGCTTTGAGGTTTGTGTTTTTATTTGACATTTCTGTTTTTGCATCATGCACACTGTCACGAGTCTTCGTTTGGTCAGTATGCTTTCACAGTTGGGCATCATTTGGCTTTGACGTCGAAAGGAAGGATTCTCATCCTAGCTAAATACGATGGCGTTTTACAAAACACCACATTGCTGAGTGCTTTGCCTACACAAGAAACTCAATAGTCCCGTTACTTCTAGACAATTGATAAAAATGCTCAGTGTTTCCCGCTCACAACTCTGCACTGATCAAGGTGTTTTTCAGCTTAGAAGCTTCCTCTTCTCCGGAGTCAGTAATTATGTTTAAAATGGAGCAAGCATAATCCATTGTTGGGCCTTGGAGTACGCATCATGTGTGGATTGTGACACGCAACCTCCACGGTTTATTTTGAAACAAACTTCTTTCGTTTCGGAGAAAAGGTAGCTTCTGTCGTACATCAAATGCACTTTTAACAGCGGATTCGGATTGTTTATGACGCGCGAGGCACTATCGCCTTAAGGAGGCGATTGTTCACATTTGTTTGTGGTCACACGGTATCGGCACTGCGCACGCGCACTGACCCTGGTGTAATTAAGCCCCACCCCCCTTTACCTCTACACACAGTGTCTGTCTGTTGTAATTGGTTTTTCGTTGCATACTAGTTAAAATCCAGTATGATGTGCTGAATTACTCTCGCTGTTGTTGCCGTCGCTGGTACTGATGCGAACGGAAACGATGAGGATGATGATGAACCCCGAATCGTACTGCATACTGTATTATAGAGCAAGTAGAAATGAATACTGTACAACTCTTTCGAAATATGGTGAAAAACGTTATAAAAGTTGTCAGTCGTGAATATCGTTGTCGTTCTCATGTAACATTTAAAATATCCGACTCACGCTATTGCAAGGCTCACAAATGTGATGTCACCGTAAGTGTGCAATCGTTCTCTGAATCGAATAGTGGTAAAATATATATCTAACGACGTTTTGAACTGCTTCCCAGATGTTGCCTCCATCACATGTTCAGGTAAACTGTTCCATATATTTATCACTCTCCGTTCGAAGCACAGTGGGTGTGGAACACGTTTGACATTCGGCACTAAAAGTTTGTATGTGTCCGCATGTGCTGCATGGCCCTCGTAAGTGCAGCATTGACTCCAGCATGGGGAATTCACCGAGATGTAGTATACAGTAGGTCATACTGAGGTCGACTCGAACCCGACGGTAGGATAAGGTGTAGAGTCCTAGTTTCTCGCACCGGTCTTCATACTCCAAGCCACGTAAACTCGGGATGAGCCTGGTAACAACGTGTTAGACCCGTTCGATCTTTTGTGCGTCGCCTCAGGTAATCGGAAAGTAGGCGGGCGAACCGCACTCTAGCATTGGTTTAATGATGGAAGAGAAGAGGCGAGTGGCAACCTCTTCAGACCATGTGCCGAAGCTACGTTTGAGCGCCCAAAGCATGCGCAGTCCGTTACGATATAGCCTGTTCGTGTTGTCCACGGACTTCAAATCGTAGCGTGAGAGTACACCTAGGTCCTTCACGGAGGGTGTGGGATATAGCGGTTGGCCGTCAGGGGTGTAGGTTCGGCCGTCAGCACCCTACCCCAGGCTCATAAATACAGACTTGGCTGGGTTGACCGGGAGATGAACTGATGCAGATCATGTGGATAGGCAGTTGAGTTCTTGCTGAAGTACGCCACAGTCGTCAGGAGCGTCAATTTTTCTCCAAATCTTCATGTGGTCCGCAAACAAGGCACACGGCGACCGGAGAAGTTGAGGTAGATTGTTAATGTGGATCAGGAACAGAGTGGGCCCCAGCACAGTGCCTTGAGGCACGCCACTTGTACAGGGATACCAGCAGTTAGGTGGTCGTCGACCTGTACCCTCTATTTTCGTCTAACAAGCAAGGTGAGGATCTACCGGTGCAGTAAGCCACCGACACCACACATTCTGAGTTTGTGAAGGAGAACCTCATGACTGGCCTTGTCGAACGCTTTACTGAAATCGATGAATATCACGTCGACAGAATTCCCCTTGCTTATTGCGTTCAACCACTCATGCCTCGTCACAAGCAGGTTCGTAATGCTTGAGCGGCATTGCATAAAACCGTATTGTGCTGGCGTCAAGACCTCGTTTGACTGTAGCAACTGCAGCAATCCCTTCTTCACAATTTTCTCAGCAACATTTGTCAAAATAGTTGTCAGACAAATTGGCCTGTAGTTGTCTACTTTGTTAGGTTCGCCGCCTTTCGGAATAGGCTTCACCACCGCATACATCCAGCCAACTGGCAACGAACCTTCGGACAGCAACCTGTTGAAAAGGTCAGTCACGACAGGAGAGATGATGGTCGAAAGTGACTTGAGAACCAGTGGGTGAAGCCCATCAGGTCCGGCAGGTTTGGTGCCGTCAAGGTTGGCGAGTAGTTGACATCCCTCTTCAACACCGCAATCCAGACTGTCGAGTTCGGTAAAAGCGGTACACGTCGAACTCAGAACAGACCTGGTCATTCGCAAATAGAGAAGCGAAGTGCGCCGCCAACGCGGACGCACGCTCAGTGTTGGAGGTTAGGGGCTGTCCATCCGGGCCATCCACCACGAGCACATCCTCTGCCGGCTTCGGGCGTCGCTTCACATATGCAAAGATTCTCTTTGGGGCAGTCTTCACGGCTGTTGCGAGCTGCTCTTCGAAATGTCGGCGCTCATTCTTTTTTGCACTGTTGCAGAGGTTTCGCTGACTTTTATATCTTTCATAATCATTGGCAGAGCCAGAGAGGAGGAATTTGTCCCACAGTCTGCGCCGCCTCCGAGCCAGATTTCCATACTCCTTGTCAAACCAATGAGCTTCAGACATTTCAGTGACACAAATTGGGAACACAATGATGTCAATCTCTCTTTTATAAATATCCAATAGTCTTCCACTGATGTAGCTTGTGACAGAGACCAGTCCAGTTGACTCGCGGCTCGAGCTAGACCATCGAAGTCCGTTTTCCAGTCGTTGTGAGCTGGTTGCAGCGGATGTGAATACGACAGATAATTCTATATCAGCTATGAACACTGAATGGTCGCTTGTAGCCAGGGCCACCAGGATCCTAACGTCACGCACTCGTTGTTCGTAGCTCGTTAACATCAGGTCCAGACAGGACGAGGTTGAGCGTGTTGTTATGCTTGTTGGCTGGCATATATGTTGCGATGCACCAGTTTCAAGTACCAGATCCACGAACTTTGCTTCAACTTCACTATGCCCAGGCACCAAATGCACATCAGGTCATCGTCTTCGATGACAGTTAAAATCGCCCATAAATAGAAAGTGTGGACGACTCATGTGGGTTCGAAGACGGGGCAACAAATCTAAACAACGACTCAGGGGGATGCGATAAACTGCGTCCAGAAGCAATTCTCCGCGCCTGAGGCTGATGGAGCACCACAGTAGTTCACATAAACCATCGTCACTTCGGTTGGTGTTCACACAGGGAAGACCGGATGTAATGTAAGACACCACCGTGGGCATTCTTTAGTCTATCGCATCGGAAGCACGAGTAACCGCTGAGTTCAAGTTATTGGTCCTAACTTTTATGACAGTTTTTCAAATGTACACAAAACCGGCAGCAGTTAAGTGATGGGTTGTTATGATGATGGCCTCTACTCCCTGATTAACTTCCCAATGTCACATGACGGGCACAATAGTCAAGAATCGACTTATTAAGATTTCTCTTTGGCGGAACACAATGACGTTTATAAGCCATTGTACATCTCTACATGGAGCTCTGCGCCCTCCAATCGTCTGCACTTTAATCTTGACGTCTGATTGCGTTCTGCTTGTTGATTGCCTATCACGGTGCGCTATACTCATTTGTCAGTTCATGTAACCTATCATCGCCTGTCCACTGTCGATCCGCTACCGCTCTGTGAATCCATGAATAGACCTCAGTTCGATATGGCCACCGAACGAAAATAAAGTGAGAGGACCTGTGCGTAGTTTAGAAGTATGTGACTTAGACCTCAAAGCTCTGCAACTAAAGTTTGGAGCAGAGTGGCTTCTCTGCTGGCCGCTTCTAAATAGTACCTTCGCAATTGATATGACCGATGCAGTACCACCACTCAAATGACTGCAGTTGTTGGCGCTAATGTGATCGACGTCTTCCCGAATCCTCACCTTGTCATTGCATCAGCACCTCGGAGTCTCCAAAAGTGGTTCACTCAGCCAACCAAGCACACTGGAGCTGGTGATTGACAGATGGGAGAGAAACTTGACCCAAATGATACGCACAGTGTTGTTTTAAAGCACGATGCAGTGCTCTGAAACACAATTGACAGGCTTTGAAATAACTAACTTGGTGATCCGGTCCGAAATAGCTGAGATATGTTGGTCAACATGGGTTAGGTGTAGCGCATCATATTCATACTACAGGCGTTCTGTGAGAAATACTCTAGCTACTGTACCGCAATTCAATTAAAGTACGCAGAGTAAAAACAAAACGAATGATACTCACAACACAAACGTCATTGGATTCATTCTTCGTCATGTCAACAAGTGTCTCAAACCAAAAGTGCTCGTCTTTAGGACACCAACCAGGAAGCCGAAAGGCTCAAGTGAGAGCCTTCATCCTACTTGACCAACTCGTCGGTTGATCTCCCCTCGTCTCCCATCCAGACAACGATCGCGTAAAAACGCATATCGCAAGAGTCAGTGTGCTTTCGTACATAGCGCCTGACTTAACCATCGTAGTATGGTGCTTGAGATAACTGCCAAACGGTTCACTCTCTCTTTCTGCACTGTAACCAATGCAGCGAACACGCTCATTGCTCACTCAGTGTTCCCACCAGATGTGAGCCAAACTGCGAAGACACTGGTGCTCAAATCTAACAAGTCATTTTACTCTTGTCGAGCTGATAAGTCATGTTTCAAAACCGGACGTCTGCACTGTAGTCCCTTCGTCACGTATGGGGAACTTGGGCGAAAGCTCATCGAGCTTTGGCTTCTCACTTCATCTCCTATTTCACAGAC